GTTTACAGAAGCAGAAGCAGCATGTTATCTAAATTATAGTTTTGGGTCTCTGGATCACTGAATTGACAGAAACACATTATCTAGAGCCCTCAGGTCTGGAATGAGGAACCTGGTTTGATCTAAATTACAGTTTTTGGGTCTCCGGAACACTGAGTCAACAGGGGCACGTTAACTGGAGCCCTCTGACCTTGGGATAATCGCGCTATCCTTCCCAGGTAAAGGAAAATGTGCTTTCTAAGACCAGTGTGACCACAACCCATGGGATATTCACATTACAACCAATAGGGTATTTAATCGAATGGGATAATTTATATAATTCAGAAAATCAAAATAACTTTTCTATTATTTTAGCAAACAAATAAGTACAGAAACCAAACAGCAGGGTTAGAGTTAAACTATAGTTTCTACCTGAGATGATTGCTACCATACTTCAATGTTAACCTTGATCACCTGGGTGAGGTCATGTTTGCCAGGTTTCTCCACAACAAAGTTACTCTTTCCACACTGTTCTCTCTGAAAGGAGTCAATATGCAGAAACTACACTTAACAAGCGAGGAGCTATGCTCAGCCTCTTTGAAAACAGAGTATCCAAGTAAATTATTTAAAATTCTCCTGCATGGGCATTTTTATACTCTCTCCCATTTATTTATGTATTCATTCTATTATTTATCTATATCAGTATGCTTCATGGATTTTTAATCTATACTTTGAGTTATAATCCAATACCACTTTATTTTGTTCCTCAAATTGTCCAGCTTTGGCCAACTCTTTCGGTTTGCTCCTGTGTCCCTTTGACATACCTACATCTTTTAAATTTTCCTTTTTATGACTTCCTAGCACTACCAGATGCTCCAGACTCATCTTGCATATTTCCTGTCCTAGTTATTGAAACAGTCATTCCCGGCTCCTTTTATCTAAGAATGGTATAACCAAGATCTGCAGATAAAAACCCTCAAGACAAAGGATTCAACGCCTCCCTCTCACATTCTCTGAAGCACACCCCGCCCTGTGTCTTTGCCCCTCACCTTCCCCCAGGAGTTTTCTTTGCTTTTCTTTCTTCTAAGCTCCAAGGGGAGCTTTAGCCTCTGCAACTTGTGTTTTCTACCTCTGTGACTTTCTAAATAAACGCTTGCTTATAAAAAAAAAAAAAAGAAAGAAAGAAAGAAATGCCCTAACCCAGTGGTTCTCAACCTTCTGGCCCTTTAAATACAGTTCCTCATGTTGTGACCCAACCATAAAAGCAGGATGGTCTTAGGCAACCCCTGTGAAAGGGTCGTTCGACCACCAAAGGGGTCTCGACCCACAGGTTGAGAATTGCTACAACCGGTTTGGCTTAGTAGATAGAGCTTCGGCCTGCAGAGTGAAGGGCCCCAGGTTTGATTCCAGTCAAGGGCATGTACCTTGGTTGTGGGCACATCCCCAGTAGGGAATGTGCAGGAGGCAGCTGAATTGATGTTTCTCTCTCATCGATGTTTCTAGTTCTCTATCTCTCTCCCTTCCTCTCTGTAAAAAAATCAATAAAATATATTTTTTTTAAAAAAAAAGAAGAAAAGAAACCAAGATCTAGGCACTAGGTGTGCTCATTGCTACCAGGGTATCCTACTTCCTAAGCCCTGTCAGGTATCAGAGTAAGGAAAGGCTGTGTGTGTATAAACTATAGAACACACACAAACATCTATAAATATTTCTGTATGTAACTGCCTGTATCGATATTAAGCTAAACATGAGGTCATAGTGACATCTCCAACTCTAGTTCATTACCCCCTGGATCATTCTAGCCTTTCCCCATGTGGATATACAAGTTTTCAACTAGAAACAGGTGTACAGTTCCTTCTGCATCTAGTTTTACAGATTCCACTCATTTCCAAGTTATAGATCAGCATCTTTTCTTCTACCCCCTCCCATGAGGTTGGTTCACACATTTATAATGTGTATTATTTTGTTCCAGTCTTTATCCCATTTTGGGATTCTCCTAAATGGTTTGTTAAAATTTGCCTACATTAAGGTTCTATGGGTTTGGACAAATGCATAGTGTCACATATCCACCCTTACAGTTTTATGCAAAATAGTTTTACCACCATAAAGTACCCTCGATGCTTAATCTTTTCAACCCTTCTCTCCCATGGACTCCTTACAAATCTATTTTCTGCCTCTATAGTTCCCTTTTCTAGAACATCCTATAAATAGAATCACATAGTTTGTAGTCTTTCAGATTTTTCACTTAGCAATATACATTTAAGGTTTATCCATGCTAGCTCATCCCTTAAAAACCCACATTTAAAATTGTAGTAAAATACACATAACATAAAAGCTACCATCTTAACCATTTTTAAGTGTACAGTTTAGTGATGTTAAGTACATTTGTACCAGAGTGAAATGCTCTGTCTTAATTCTACAATGTATTCTTCTCAGAGCCTATGGATTAATAGCACCTGCCTCAAATATGCTAATTAACCAAAGGAATTCTGCTTGAGGCTTGAGTTTTTGCCCCAGCAGCCCCTTGCCCAGGGGCCTTTCTGGAAGGGGTGGGGAAATAATGACTGTTTATCAAAGATTTACGGGAGTCTCCACAAGGACTCAGGTCAGAGGGGCTCAACCACAGACCAGGATCAAAGGGATTTAGAGCTGCCCAGCTCCTCCTTGGAGTCCTGTTCAGCGCCTAGCCCTCTAGCTCTCTGGGGAGGGGAAGGAGGGGAGGAAACGCACCACTTGCCTCGCCCCTCCTCCCTTCCCTGTCAGAGAAGACAGTCTGAATTGTGGGCCCTCTTAACATGGGTTTGAAGATTACCGTATTTGCCGGCGTATAAGACGACTGGGCGTATAAGACGACCCCCTAACATTTCCACTCAAAATACAGAGTTTGTTATATACTCGCTGTATAAGAATACCCCCTCTTCCGCACACCTTCCACACACCAAATAAAAGGTAAAACAATATCAGATTTGATTTTAACATTTTAATTTATATTCAAATGCTTATGACATGCAGGAAAACTGTCACAAGGCTGTATGTAATCAAACATATACATAAAACAGTGCAAGTTTATTACCGGTAAACATACCGGTAATTCACTAAAGAAAACACACTCTATAGACTGGTACCGTAGATGCTTCTCAGGAACACAGGCAAGCAGCCCACAACCTAGAGGGACTGTCAATGATAGAAGTAAGATAACAAATAGAGGGAGAGAGCAAGTGCCGGGCAAGTCCCTAGCAAGTTTGCTGGCGTGACAGTTTCACCTTAAAAGCCTTCAAACTCCTCTT